TTTTTTTTTCTATTCAAAACAGTAAGTGTGGCACCTTTCTGAAATCTTTATTAAATGAGCAATTTTTTTATGTAATGTAAAGTTATAGCTCAGTACATTTTTTTTTCACCCGAGATAGTCAAAGTTGGGGAAGAAAATATCAAAAAGTTAAAAATCCAGAAATAGTCATAATTTTATGATGTTTCCTTAATATATTTTAACTTCATTGCATTTGAGTATGGAGAGGCAGTTATCTACAAGTATTTTACATAAAAAATTTACTAAGTATTGCCCGGTTTGTAGTTGCAGTTAAAGAAAACACATGAAAAGGCACGATTTTTTTTTTAATTCGAAAACATGTAAATATTTCAAAAACGGTGACACTTTTACCTGAAAATTTTTTGTTTATCAGTGAGCTCACCCCCCCACCTACCTTCCCCTAAAGTTTGGCACGTTACTTCTGGGACACCCTGTATAGAAAAATATATAGTAAAGACTAGGGATGTGCCGGATATAGATTTATCCTGTAAAAAATAACAGCCGGATTCGGATATCCGATCGGATATCCGGTAGACTGCTGCCCTTAATAAATTTCACAACATTGTTTTTTTGCCGGCTCGAGTTCACCTCGACCAGGGTTGTTGCGAATATTATTCCGAAATAAAAGTCCTTTCCGGATAATAAACAAACCGCCTGTCGAAATTAAACAAAATTTGGTATCATATGAAAGAGGAATGAAATAGCTTTTAAACAGAAATAACGAACGATCTTAATTTATATTTTTTTTTATAATTTAATACTAAAGAAATGCATGCACCTGACACAAAGTTTGTTCTATGGTACCTGGTTAACATTTTTTATAGAAATATTTTTAAATATGTGGCTTTCCTCGTTTAGACATTTCAGTTATAAAGATATTAAAGTCCTCTTTAATTTGGTACCAAACTTATTTTACTTATTTTTATTTATTTAATTTGGATAAGCGGTTTGTTTATTATCCAGAAAGGACCTTTATTTCGGAATAATATTCGCAACAACCCTGACCTCGACCTCCGCACCGTTTCTGATGCTACAAAATTTACCACTTCGAAAACACAATTACGCACACATCTGTGCGATGCTATCGCAGTGAAAAATGGCATCTTATAAACAAACAAAAAACAATCTTCATCAAATTCTTTGCTTTTGAACAATCAAGATGTTTTGTTTTCTAACGTCAATTTTTGTTTAAATTATACAGAACCGACCTTTTTCGTTTCTGAACGCGTAGGTCTCCGATTTCGGCACGACGAAATGAAGAGCTGTGAATGTTCCAATAAATAGTTGCGGCATTGTTGTAATTTTTTCGGAACAGATTCGCACCGTCAGAATCGCGGAACATGATATACCCACTCTTTCTGCTTATCAGTGGAATGTGGTCGAAAATATAATACATGCTTAAACGCCGTATGAAGAAATGACAAAGCAAGCCAGTTTGGACAAAGAGTCCATTGCTTATGTAATTCCTGCAGTAGCTACACTGAATTCTTTTTTGCTAAAGAGATGCAATGACAGTGGTCTTCAAAAATTTAAAACTGAATTGAAGCAATCATTGCACGACAGATTCTTATCAACAAACTATTAATAAAAAAATTTACTTGAATATAGGACTAAACATTCAACAACGACAATGTTTCACTATTGCAACATTTTGCATAGTGGTTCGGATAGCAGATCTAGCTGGACGAAAGTCAAAATTTTTTTGTTTTTAAAATACTTAATGGTACTTGGAATACATTCCTGACAATACATTCAAATAGAAATTGCATTTATTAAAGCATTAACATAAGAAAACAAACAAAAAAAGGTAAGTCAACGCCGCCTATTTGAGAACTCTATTTTAAAAGCTGAAATTTAACTTAAAAGATCGCTAATTGCACTCACAAATATTTGCATAATTGCAAATTGACTTTATAAACAAAAAATTACACTTATTGCGCTATTGATTCAGAGGTCATAATGCAATTTATGTCCACATTGGTATAAGCAAATTTATTCTGAAAAATCATCGTTTTGATTAATTAAAAAGATAAATTAAAGAGTAGGAAAAGTAAAGGCCGCCGAAGGCCATTATAAAACCACTCGCGAATTTTCTGCTTTCTGAAATTAAAAAATTATACAACAGGCATGCAAATATTTAAGCGCTGTTATACAAATTTTTCTGAAATTTAAATAAAATCTTAAGAAGTGAGTTGTTTGACATTTGGTGTTGCTGAAACTTCTAAAAGACAACAAGGTGTCCGTGATTATGTGATTAATAAATTGAAAGAAATATCTAACGAAAATGCTCGTTCCGAAGTAAAGTATAGATTCGTTATCAGCAACCCAGAAAATCCCCAGATACCCAATTACATAGAAATCTACCGATTTTTTTAAATTTTCGTCCGCCATATTTGATCCGCCATTTTGAATTTTTGGTAAATGACTTTAGGTATGTAATCAGCGACCCAGAAAACCCCCAGATACACAGTTACATAGAAATCTACTGATTTTTTTAATTTTCGTCCGCCATTTTGAATTTTGGATAAGTGACTTCAGATTCGTAATCAGCGACTGAAAAATCCCCTAGGTAAGAAGTGGTGTAAAGATCCATCAACGAGTATTTGTTTAAATAGTTTCGTCCAGCTAGATTTGCGATCCGAACCACTGTGTTTTGTGACCCACGTTTCAAAACTCGTTATAAATCAGTTAGCATGGAGAAACCAGTTGAATCATATGAAAAATGCCGAACTATAGTGAAAGCTTCCATCGAGGGTCGAGCTCACGAGGATATTTGGCAATGCTTTGAGGAAATCGCCAACGGCTCTGATGCTGATTGTAGTGTTTCTAGTGATATGGATAGCCAAACGATTGTTAGACAAGGCAGCGAACGTACAAGAAAAAAGGCAGCGATTTAGAAATAGAGAAATATTTGCAGCTACCTCTTATATCCAGACAAGAAGATCCCTTAACTTGGTGGAAGTATAGCCGCAAAGAATTTCCAAATTTGTTTACACTGGCAATGAAGTATCTCTGCGCGTCACCTTCCTCAGTGAACTCGGAAAGAGTATTTAGTGCATCGGGTAACATTTATGTTGAAAATAGAAAAGGTTGTTGCCCGATAATGCGGAAAAGCTTCTTTTCATAATGAAAAATATACAAATTGTTAACTTTGATTACTAATTAGATACTATTAAATTGGATTACAAAAATACAAAATCTGGGTTAAATTTCTAAATTGAATCTTCTATAATCGATATCCGGAATCCGGCCGGATATTAGCCAGTATCCGGCCGGATAACCGGATAACTAAAAAACGGCCGGATAGGCCGGATTCCGGATATCTACTGGATACCCGGCACATCCCTAGTAAATACCAATGTCCTCTAGTATATTGGGCCTTTTCATCTAAGAGCTTGAAAAAAGCTGCTGACACGTTCTTATGTATTCCTGCAACATCAATACAATCTGAGCGAATATTTTACAAAGCAGGTCAAATACACAGCGAGAGAAGAAATAGATTAAAAGATACAAATATGAATAAGATTTTATTTTAAACCAAAATACTAAATAATTCAATTAAAAACAAATCAGCCGTATTCACAATCTGATACAAATGGTTTAGCATCTCATTTTAGTGCCGTGTAAATTGGTAGCTCATTAAAATTATAAAATAATATCAATAACCGTAAATGAAATGTATATATATTATACATACATATATGTTTATCTACGTATGTATATCAAATTATTTTTTTTGTTTTTTTTCGCACATTTAAAATCGATTTAATCGATAGAGGTGAACAATCGATGTTTAGCCAAAACTAACCGGAGCAGGAGAACTTAACAAAATTTAAATATATGCGAGCTTTGGGAACAAATTCAATTAATTAAAAACAAAC